ACAATTTTTTTTCTTAAACATAGTCAGTGGGGTAAAATGCTCCCAGTGGGCAATGAGGAATTACTGTAGTTATTCTGTTCTAAACATCAAATCCTTACTTTTTCCATCAAATGTATTCTACCTAGTTCTTTCTGCGATTGAAATAAAATACCTTCTAATGTTCATTTATGTTTATTTCATGCTTTAACTAGTAAAGATGAGCTTGGACTGAGGTGCTACAGTGATATGACACGACACTTTAAAGGCACAATATGTAAGATTTTTTTATTAAAATATCCAAAAACCACTAGAACAGTGTTATATATTTTGCTGACTTGTGTACTTACATTATCCCAAATGTTTCGAAGAATGTTTAAATCCAGAGAAATAAGCAATTTTAACTAGTGACACGAACCGTGTCCATAGTGTCCTTGTGTCGCAATCAATAAAATCTCCGCTGCTTTCCAGCCGTGTGTCACGCTCGTTCAGCGCCTCGTTTCGCTTCGACGGCTTTCAACCTCACCCTGCTTCATTCTACTACGTTAATAAATCATTAGCTCATCCATGAACATGATTTCTGCCTGAGTCCTGTCGGATTGCATCAGCTGTGGGGATGAAAACGACAACTTCCATGATTCCACACTCAGTCACGGCGTCATCAAACTACGCCTTTGTCTATTTGTTTATTTTGAATACGCGCCCTCCAGTGACGAAAATTACATATTGTGCCTTTAAAGAGCCACAAACTATATTTATTGTTTGAATTTCTTACAAAATAACAAAATTTGAAAGCTGAGACTTTGTTTCATACCAGAAGTAGCCTGCTCTGTCTCGTCTGTCAGCGTGTTGTGCGTTTCCTCTTTGCTCCATGATGTATTTTTAATTTCATGAGAAGATGATGTGTGGCGTGAGAGCGCCATGGCTTGTCGGACATAGCAACAGTAACTAAGGGGGGGCGGGTCTTTGCGAAGAGTCAGTTGCATTCATTTTAAGGTATGTGTCAAATCGATTGAGAAAAACTGTAAGATATCCTATGATTATGCAGTGTTGGTGAAGCTACTCTGAAACTGTAGCTTGACCAGCTACAAGCTACTCATAAATTAATGTAGTTAAGCTACAGCCAAGCTACGTTCAGCGCCTCGTTTCGCTTCGACGGCTTTCAGCCTCACCCTGCTTCATTCTACTACGTTAATAAATCATTAGCTCATCCATGAACATGATTTCTGCCTGAGTCCTGTCGGATTGCATCAGCTGTGGGGATGAAAACGACAACTTCCATGATTCCACACTCAGTCACGGCGTCATCAAACTACGCCTTTGTCTATTTGTTTATTTTGAAATACGCGCCCTCCAGTGACGAAAATTACATATTGTGCCTTTAAAGAGCCACAAACGATATTTATTGTTTGAATTTCTTACAAAATAACAAAATTTGAAAGCTGAGACTTTGTTTCATACCAGAAGTAGCCTGCTCTGTCTCGTCTGTCAGCGTGTTGTGCGTTTCCTCTTTGCTCCATGATGTATTTTTAATTTCATGAGAAGATGATGTGTGGCGTGAGAGCGCCATGGCTTGTCGGACATAGCAACAGTAACTAAGGGGGGGCGGGTCTTTGCGAAGAGTCAGTTGCATTCATTTTAAGGTATGTGTCAAATCGATTGAGAAAAACTGTAAGATATCCTATGATTATGCAGTGTTGGTGAAGCTACTCTGAAACTGTAGCTTGACCAGCTACAAGCTACTCATAAATTAATGTAGTTAAGCTACAGCCAAGCTACCCTTCTAAAAAAGTTACACTACAAGTTACTTTCAAAAACTACTTTCATTTTTTTTTATTAATTTTTCTTTTACAAGTAACATTACAAATAACTAAATAATTATTAATGAAGAATTATAATGAAGTTATAAGTCAAATATTTGGGGTTTAAAACAACATACTGTAATGCAATCATGATTTCAAAGAGTACAGTGAATTCAGGTTGATTGGGACACACTTTTCCAAGCCATTTCAATGACAAAAAGTGTCCCAATAATTTGATTTTGTAAACTATCCGATACAATAGAAAACATTTGAGTTCATCCAACATTTCACCTCCTCAAGGCAATTCAACAAGGAATTTTCAGTTGCATTGTTTCCTGCTTTAAAAGGTAGGTACAACTGCGTGTCATCAGCATAACTATGATACAAAATGCCAAATTTATTAAATATAGATCCCAGTGGAATCATGTAAAGAGAAAAAGCAGCAGCCCTAAAATAGAGCCCTGAGGTACCCTGTAACTTACAGGAGCAGCAGAAGTACAATTATTCCCAATCTTTACAGTGAAAGTTCTACCCTCCAGGTAAGAATGGAACCAACGTAAAGCCACGCACTTACCCCAACACACCGCTCAAGACGCTCTAACAAAATGGTATGATCCAGTGTGTAAAAGGCCACACTCAGGTCTAACAAGACCGACACAATTTCCATTGTCACCTTCCAGTAAAACATAATTTAATACCCTAATAAGGTCAGATTCAGTGCTATGACCAGTTCTGAACCCTGACTGAAACTTTTCCATTATGTCAATCTCTGCTAAAATAGAAGAGAGCTGACAAAACACAACCTTTTCTAGGATTTTTGCAAAAAAAGGAAGTTTAGAGATTGGATGAAAATTTTGAAGTACAGATGGACCTAGACCGGGTTTCTTTAACAATGACTCCATTACCGCATGTTTCAAACTCAATGGTACACAACCCTCGGCCAGACTTTTGTTTACGATTAATAAAATGTAACGACCAATAGTAACAAAAACATCTATAAAAAGACTTGTTGGGATAACATCATTTGTAGATGAAGTGACCTTTAACATACCCATGATCTCAGTGATTTCCAAATGCAACATCATCTTAAAGGCTCTAAAGGAGCTTAAGGGAGCAGCAGCAACTCCAAGATCTAACTTCATTGGTGAAATTGCAGAGCGAATACCATCGATTTTATCAATAAAAAACTTTAAAAATCTCTCACAATTTGCAACTGAAGACTCAAGACAAACCGAGACTGAAGGCTCTAAAATTGAGTTAACAGTATTAAAAAGCACGCAAGGCTGGTGAGAATACTTTACAATAATTTCAGAAAAATAATTAGCTATTTTTTAACTAAAAACTAGCCATTTTTGCTGCTTCCTGAAATTTAGTCAAAGAATCCCTCAGCATAATATAAGAAATCTGCAGCTTATCCTTCTTCCGTTTCCTTTCCGCACGTCTACATTCTTGTCTTAATAACCGTATCATGTCATTTATCCATGGAAGAGATTTGACTTTCCGATGCTGAGTTTTACAAAGAGCAATATGGTCCAGTATATCTGAACAAACAGAGTCAAACAATAAAGATTTTGTGTCAACAGAAGGAGGCAGACAATCAAAAATCTCAGCTGAGAATCTGAAAGCTTCAGCAAATGCTATTACTGTAGATGATGTAATACTACGAGAACAATATATCTGGGATCGTGGCTTTTTATGATCAGAGAAATAATTATCAGTGACCATAACATTATTGACAAATGTACCAGTGCCTAAAATCAAGTCCAGCATATGACCATGGGGATGCGTAGATTCATTCACATATTGCTGAAAGTTAAAAGAGTCAATAAGATTTAAAAACTCCTTTGCTTGAGAATTTGTTTCACAACAAACATGAACATTAAAATCACCAATGATCAAGATATTATGAAATAATGGAGCAATCCCAGATAACAAATAGATGAATTATATTTAGGAGGTCTATAAATCAACACACATAAAATCGGTTTAGATAAGACCAGTTCAAATGATAATACTTCAAAACTCTGAAATGATCCACAAGGAAGCAGTCTGCAAGTGAAGTGTTTTTTAAAAACAACCGCAATGCCTCCACCACAAGCAAGAGTCCTTGGCGAGCTAAAATAACAACAGTCTGATGATACAATTTCTGAAATAGGGCTTAAATCTCCAACAGTCAGCCAAGTTTCAGTGATAAAATGTCCAGATTATGAGATCATAGAAATCATGTAAAATAAATGTCTTGTTTACAACTGATCTCGCGTTTACCAGAGCCGCCGATAAAGTAGTAATACTTGGCATATTCACATCAGCTTCTCCCAATGTTTGTAGACACACCGAAAGCAAATGGCTGTGATTCACTCCACTCATCCTTGACATCGATCTTGCAGAATCAGGCCTCCGCATAGACACTCGGCAACAGATCGGATTTTTTACTTCACGGTTTTCAACCAAAGAAAACTCGAGTCCCCATGAAATGAAATTCCTTCCCCGCTCGAACATAGACCCCTGGAACATGTACCTTGTCTCCTGGTACTGTGGTGTTTCTTCTTTCTCTTTAGTTGATCCAGCGGACACCAAAGCTGTGCTTGTATGAACGGCAAATACCAAGAGTATCCATCTCCTTCAGAGCTCTGATCTCCGTAATTTATAGCAACAGACTCTCGGAGATCCAACAAAGTTTGCCGATCATAAATTTATCATGTCCCAGCAGAGAAAGACATGAAACCCAGACGCAGGATAATAACACCGAATCCAATGAAGTAGCAACGGCCAGCCAACATGTACATCGGCGCCATCTTGCTCTCTAAAAAAAAAAGATTAGATTTACAATCTAATTCATATAATTAAATGGCAGGCTACATCTTCCTTCTACATAGGACAAGCAATTTGGAAAATGGAATGGATGGAATTTAATATGATTGTTTTTTAGTCAAATGAGGAAGTTATAGAGCTATCTTTGTAGTTTGTCAGCTGAAGGCAAACTGTCCTGATTTTTCTGTTTCAGCTCCTTAAATAGCTTATCAGAAGCATTTTGCTTTTGCTGATTAATAAGATGAACATTAAAATACACAAACTGGTAAATCATGTCAAGTCACCTTTACAGCACTTTATACAATACAGACTGCATCAAAGTGGCTTCACGGAGATAAACAGGAAAATAGCAGAATCAATTATGGTACCTCAACTGTGGAGACAGTTCAGATTCTGCTGGAAAGCAGCTCTAAATTGTCAGAGTTAGGTTGAAAGAGAGATGGGGCAAGGATCTATTGAAGCTGTACATTAACTGAAAACAAAACACAATCTGCAACACAGGAGCACAGGAAAATTGCTGACCAGCAAACCAAATATTACATAGACAAGAATGGACAAAAAAAATAAATAAATAAAAAAATTTGAAACTGAGGACTATACAGTATATACACAAACTAGGGGTGGTTTTCAGTTGGAAGGCTGCATCCTTGCGAGGTTCAACAGTTCTCCTCTCTATTAAACGCTAGAATGAGATGCTCTGATTAGTGCACATGGCTACTTCTTGCATGTTTCTTCCCGCGGTCACAGCATGAAAATACTTTAAACATTAATTGCGGAAAAAAAAAAAAAAAAAAAAATAATAATAATAATAATAATAATAATAATAATACCAAATCTAATTTTCTAATAATGCAATACAGGTAATATTAACCATATGTGGTTTCCTAGTGGTTTACATTATGGACAGCTTAGCATTATGTGATTATTTTTCAACAAAACAAAACATAAAAAAAAAAAATAAAAAAAAATAAAAAAAAGTACGTTTGCATTGCATAGTGAAATTCAGTGAACTCCGTGTTCATGAATTGGAATATGTGCAAAGGATTGTGGGTGATTGTATAATGCAAAGGACGCACTTGATGAATCCTTCAAAATAAGCCGAATGAAGGATGAGGTCACGGAATGACTCGGGAAAACAGTAGCAGATCCAAGTGCAGCTTTATTCTACAAAAACAAAGATCAAAAACAGAGCAAAAACACTGGCAAGAGGTAATCCACAAAACAGAATCCGAAAACACAAACAAACAGGGGAAACAGCTAATAGGTAAATGATAAACAGCTGGAGGTAATGAAACAATCACTGCAAGGGGTGATGGGAACTGAAGTCCAGAACAAAACAAACAATAATGCAGCAGTGTGCCCTCTGGTGGCCGTCAAGGGCACACCAGCCACTGGCTATGACATATCCCCCCCCCACTTAAGGAGCGGATTCCAGATGTGCCAACAAAGTCAAAGTGGAAGGTGGAACCGAGGTGGATCAGGGGGAAGGGATGGTGGGCCAGGCCCATGTAGTGGAAGAGGGCCTGGAGACAGAGGCAGAGCAGGGTGCCAGGGCGGGGCCGGCAGAACAGGAGGCCAGGGCAGAGCTGACGACCACCTCAGCGGAGAACCCCCTAGCAGCTCAGGCAGGACTGCAAAGAAGAGCACAGAAATGTTATTAACAGCCTTGATGGCTGTAACAGGACAGGCAGACAGTTCAGCAACGGTCTCCTTGACCATAACAGGGCAGGCGGACAATTCAACAACAGTCTCTCTGGCCATGACAAGGCAGACTGAGAGCTCTGGAGTGGACTCTGAATGCTCCCGGACTGGAGCAGGCTCTGGAGTGGACCCTGAGGGCTCCCAGACTGGAGCAGGCTCTGGAGTGGACTCCGAGTGCTCCCATGCACGCAGAACAGCCCAGAGGCCAAAGGCAAAGATGGCCTTCTTGATTATGGCAGCAGCAGCAAAATTGGGCGGCTCTGTGGCGACCTCTGAGACCACCAGAGTCGGGTCCTACAGGACAACCAGAGTGGACTTTGCTGCCCTCCTCCTCGACCTTCGCTTGCGAGACTGAGACAGTGAAGATTCATTATCAACTGGAGCGGGCTCAGGCATCTCCGGGGGCACTGCAATGGGCTCAGACCGACATGACATTAATAAATTGCAGTAACAGAGATAATCAATGAACTCCCAAAAATCTTAAGCCCCTCCATCTCCCAAGGAGGCAAGGGGTTATCAAGGCAGTCATTAAAAATCTTGCCGAGTTAGGAATTACAAAGTTCCAGTCCTACCGCCAAAGTCCAAAAGGTTTGTGCAAGACCTCCTACTCCCATCCCTTGTTGACGAAGAGCCGCCAACATTTGGAGCCGAGCCTTCCGCTCCTTCGAAGCCGGAGGAACAATTCGAATGCCCGTGGTCCACAAGCCAATACGCCCAGCCTATCTGCTGGATCGGTTGATGGCTGTAGCGTTCTTTCACAGAATGACTCGGGAAAACAGAATAGCAGACCCAAGTGCAGCTTTATTCTACAAAAACAAAGATCAAAAACAGAGCAAAAACACTGGCAAGAGGTAATCCACAAAACAGAATCCAAAAACGCAAAGAAACAGGGGAAACAGAAAACACAACGTGACAGGTCCAATACTGCAGCAATCAAGGACAAAGTGAGAATGGTATAAATAACAGTGAGCTAATAGGTAAATGATAAACAGCTGGAGGTAATGAAACAATAATCAGTGCAAGGGGTGATGGGAACTGAAGTCCAGAACAAAACAAACAATAATGCAGCAGTGTGCCCTCTGGGGGGCTGTCAAGGGCACACCAGCCACTGGCTATGACAGATGCGAAATGAAGGCTGCCTTCCAACAATCTTTTAAATTGAGATGTCCTTCGCCGGAGCTTGATGACCTGGCAGCCAAGATATGCAACCTTACTAGGACACAGACTTTAAATTTAGAAGAACCCTACATGAAGGTTTAAACAAGGAAAAGGTGGTTAATTAACTAAATATTAACCAAGGCAACCAAGGACACTGGGACTAGATTAAACTGAACTCAAAGAATAAAACTTAGACAAGACCTAACATAAGTATTGTCTGAGTTCCCTGTTGACAAAAACAGCATTTGCTGGTTAGGTATGTTTTGAAGCATGGTAGCTGGTTTGAGCTGGTTTAAGCTAGTCTTTAGTTGGTCATGAGCTGGTTTAAAATGGTTATAAACTGGTTATGAGCTGGTGCTGAGGAGGAGCTTGTTGCTTAAGACCAGCACATGACCAGCTTAAACCAGCTCAGGGCCAGCTTAAACCAGCTCAAATGCAATCCAGCTGCAATGCTTCAAACATACCTAACCTGCATATGCTGTTTTTTCAACAGGGTTACCATTGTAACCCTTATGCTGATGCAGATTTCCATCGGCAATTTCTTTGGCCTTTTCTGAATATGTCAGAAGTGTTTGGGCTCCCAAGACCCCTAGTGTTGGAACTTCAACACAACCTCGAAAGTGAACGACAGAACGGGAACATTGTTTCCTTTGTTTCTGAATAGCAGTAATAGATGTCATCAAATCACAAGCCTGTTTTGATTTGATAGTCAAGCTATTCTACATGACAAATACAAATCACAAATATGACGCTGCAAAAGTTTCTGAAAAAATTTCAGCAGCAGCTATTTGCTCTAAGTGTTAAAAAAATTCTAACACTAGCTTTCTATATTCTTTTTCTATTCTATTCTATCTAACTTGTTTTCTTTGTGTGTGTGTGTGTGTGTGTGTGTGTGTGTATAGATATATACATCGCACAGGTATATTTGTAGTATAGCCAACAATACATTGTATGGGTCAAAATGATAAATTTTTCTTTTATGCCAAAAATCATTAGGATATTAAAGGGGTGGTTGATTGTGATTTCACTTTTTTAAGTTAGTGTGTAATGTTGCTGTTTGAGCATAAACAATATCTAGGGGTGCACGAAACAATCTATTTGTATATGAATCGTGATTCTGTCTTCTAATGATTCTAATGGATTCACAAGTTTCAAAATCAATGTTCTAAAGCAGCGGTTCTTAATCCTGTTCCTCGCATCCCCCTGCTCTGCATCTCTCTCTCATTCAGATCATCAGATCTTCAGCTCTCTCTAATAAACTGTGTTCCAGTTATACACTTGTGTGTCACTATGTGTATAGACCAGGGGTAGGCAAGTTCGATCCTAGAGAGCCGCAGTCCTGCAGAGTTCAGCTCCAACCCTAATCAAACACACCTGAACAAGCTAATCAATGTCTTCAGGATTACTAAGGCTATTGTCACGTTACGCTGCCGGAAGGAACACGGAGCCGTGGATAATCGAAAGAGTCTTTATTAATGCAACACAGGGGGTAACTCCAACATAGGGAACAGGAGGTAGATGCACGTACATCACTGGTAGACCCGACAAACACTAACTGCACAGACTAGGACTTATAAACACAGGGCAATCAGGGGAACACAGGTGACAACAATGGAACATAATCAAACAAAACGAGGACAGGAACATGACCAAATAAGGAGACACAGGAAGGACTACGGGGGCAAAACAGGTCCAAAAGTCTGACAGCTATAGGCAGGGGAGGGTTTTTTTTTTCAGGGTTGGAGCTAGAGAGCCGCAGTCCTGCAGAGTTCAGCTCCAACCCTAATCAAACACCCCTCAACAAGCTAATCAATGTCTTCAGGATTACTAAGGCTATAGGCAGGTGAGGTTTTTTTTTTTCAGGGTTGGAGCTGAACTCTGCAGGACTGCAGCTCTATAGGACCGAACTTGCCTACCCCTGGTATAGATGGACAGATATTTTCACATAGCTACGAGAAGCGTTAAATATGGACACGCACGTGGTTGCCATGGTAGCGAGCAATACTTGCTGGCAAACACTTCTTACTCTTACAAAATAAACAATTATTTTACAAAAATGCTACAACGCAATCATATATTCTTCTGTATTAAAGCTTTAATCAGGATTTACATAAAACCGTATATTAGAAGCTAACATAAGCAGTACCATTTACAAATAACAGTGTATCTAAAAGTATGAGACAACAACAAACAAAGAAACATACCATTCTGAAACGTCCTGTAAGACCCATGCTTGCACAGGTTCTGCACGATCCTCTTCACTAATATGCTCTGCGTCTCATTCGTGCTCAAATTGATAAGCAATATTGACACAAACATTGTTTACAATACAACCGGAGCACATGCCACTGAGGTGAGGGGCGTGACATTCCTGGACGTGCACTGGCGGTTTAGCAAACCACGTATTTCTGAGGGAGGGGCTTCATAAAACCATGAAAACATTGGAGCGTTCATCAGAGAAGGGACAGAGCGGTGTAGAATAAAGGTAAATTATGTGAAAAATAATGCGGTTTTTTTTAAACGAAGCATTAAAGGGGTCATCGGATGCCCATTTTCTACAAGT